CCTTTGTCATGATGACTTGTGAATTTGTGTTAGCACAAGCATTGACAACTCTCAAAAGGTTCTGTCTACTCAATTTCACTCACAAGGCTCGGATTAACCAATGGTATGGTTTTTAGGCACTTTCCAAAGATGCTGCTCACTGAGATTATCTCTTGCAAACCAATAACATCAAGAAGTCACCTTCCTGAAAATGGTAAGATTTGAGTGTTCTAACCACTTGCTTACATACCCAGAATAGAACTGGCTAAATTGTCATTTAACACAGTGTCTAATACAGGTCTGAATCCCAGAGCATACAAACTCCAGGATGCAGCCCTGCATTTGATCGGGAAGAAAGTTGGGCAAAATTTACCGTGATTGTCTTGTCACTGAAGAGGGTTTCCATGATGTACCACCCTAATATGAAAAATATCCAAAAAGTCCCCAAAAGGTTGATATTCAGCAGATAACATGCCCATACTGGATGAAGAACCTATCAAAGATTTATTGTGAAGGGGTTTGGTAGTAAAGGCAATTTTCCCGAAACAGAATTTCAATAAGTCAGTTAGGGATGAACATGAGAAGCAATTCTTGTTCAGGATTGTCAAGTGCCACAAAAAAAAAAAAAAAAAAAAACAAACACAACAAAACAAAACTGCTGACTGCATAACATTATTAAAGTGTCTGTTCATGGATTCTCAATTAGTTACCAAGTTTGATCAACCTGACCTGAGATTTTTCCAGAGACACATTCATATTAAATAATGTACCCGATATGAACTAGTATCATTTCAAAAGTACATATACTCAATGTCCAATATATAATACACAATTTCATTTAAATTTGGCATACACCATTTTTATATCAACTGAAATGATGACATTAGCAAAGTTTGAGAACATACTAATTCAATTTCCTCATTATATATTTTATTCAGTGTATCAGGGCAGTAGATCATGAGCTGTTCTAAGCTTCATATAATGACTTTAGTTTCCGGACAAATACTGTCCAACATTTAAATTTTTTTTTTTTTTTTTGCTGTCTGTTGATTCTAAGCTTTCGGCTCACGTGAGCCATCATCAGAAGTGGTTATATGGACATTACAACAGAGATGTTCGCCATCAAAGATGACATTGTCTTATGTTTACATACATATTTGCTATCTGCTGATAACAGTTGAGGAATAGCAGATGCAGGTTGTAAATTCATAATGCTGTTCTATGAGGTCATACATAACCACGTGAGACAAAGAAATGTTATCAACAGAACCAGGTGTTTAAATGTGAACCAAAAGCTTAGATCAAGGAACAGCATAATAAAAAAATATATCCAAATGTTGGACAGTTTTTGTTTCTATTTTCTCTTGAAACTAAAGCCACTATACAAAGTTTAGAATGGCCCAGGATCAAACATAATAGACATTCATTATCTGTTATATTTAACTATATATATATATATATATATATATATATACACACACACAAGAAATGTGAACACTGTTGTCAACAGTCTATCCATGCGGGTTAGATTATAGCTTCCCTATATGTATATGCTAATTACTGGGACATTATTGGCAGCAAAGTTGGTTATTTCTGGTTTATTGCATATTCTAATGGCTATTGATTAAAAAAAATCATTTTGCCCCATGTAAAGCAATAAAGACACGAAGATGCTAGTATTCATATCCATAATACATATGCATCATGGATCGGCAGAAATGGTTATTTTAAATTATTCTGGGAGTCATTAAATAGAAATGACTGTTACTTGCTACCTATATACACTGTCACCATTCAGTGCTGATACCAATGTCCACATATATTTTCATATGCTCCAGCATGCATATTGAGCTCTTTTACTATATATATTTTTTTTCGACGTATGAGGGTCAAGCATATCAGTTCCTAGGAAACTGAGAGCCTGACACCAGCACATGAGATTTAATTATAGAGGTGAAGGTTTTGTGTAGAACCAACCACACTTTTTGAAGGGCCGAATACAGAGACTTGGTGCATTACATGGTGCAGGGTCCCTCTCCTAGACCAGTTGCCATCCAAGGCTATAGAACCCAGTCTGTCCTGGTATTTGCCCATAGCTGGAGGGGGATGAAGAGGATTCACACCTTTCCCAAGGGTATTAGCATGTAAGTGAATGTAATGGATTTGACTGAAATTAGAACTCGGCTCTCAGATCCCCCAATCCAAGCTGCTATCCATTACTCCACCGTGTATGTATATATACATGCATATGCACACACAAGTTTACTAATTCTAGTGCTGACAGTAATGGGTAAGACCGTATATTATTAGTAAAGTTAGGTTTGTGGTTTTTAAATAAAATATTGGCATCTTTGGTATGGATCTTCCCCATTCTATCAGCAATATTAAATTTATTAGGTAACTTGGTAGTCACATTGTGTGTGTGTGTGTATATATATATATATATATATATATATATATATATATATATATATATATAAAGCAAAAAATCTTTAAATTAAAAATTCTCAGCATTACCCATTAAGGTAACATGTTGCAAACAAACTTAGCCTGATGAAGTCCTAAGAGCTGAAACGTGTCACAAGAAAACTTTTCACACACACACATATATATATATAAGGTCTGTGCAAAAGTGAACCCCTAAGATAATAATTAAAAAAATTTATCTCTTTCATCCAGATAACCAACAAATCTTAATTAAACTATATATTCATTAAGAAAAACCTTTATTAAATGATTTACAACCACTTTCAAAGAATTTTATCAAGTTGGAATAAAAATATTAATTAAAAATTAAAATGTGCAAAAACAAGTGAACCCTTACATTTATATTTTGTATTTTTGTTTTACATGTTGGTTGCAAGTGCAAATCATTTTTTGGGCATGTGTAAAAATCAGAATGACACTTGTTCATTTTCTTGGCAAGCTGTGTATACTGCAGTCAACCAATATAACACATTGTGCATGCAAAAGTGTGCACTAAATTAAAAAATATATATGCAAAGATCAAAAGAACTTCCTGAAGCTTTAAAAAATTGCATAGTTGAAGCCTATAATGATGGAGAGGGCTACAAAAATCTATCAAAATGATTTGGAGTGCAACAAATCATTTATAAATGAAAGGCCTTTGGCATGACAATCAAGAATTGGCCGTCCATGAAAAATAACAGAAAGAACAAGCAGAAATCTAGTTCGGCAAGCCTAGACAAATCCTGCTGTGACCTTTTTGGTTCTCCAATGCTCACTGGCTAATGTTGGAATCAATGCGCATACATCTACAGTGTGACAAAATCTGAATAATGCCAATCTTCATGGCAGAATGCCTAGAAAAAGCCACTGCTTATGAAATAGCACAAGCATGCTTACCTAAGATATGCCAAAGCTCATATTAATAAGCTAGAAATATTTTGGCAAAAGGTTTTATGGTTGGATGAAACCAAAATAGAGCATTTTGAGTGGTATATCTGGTGAGCTCCTAATATGGCTTTTGAAGAGAAGGATTTGTTACCAACCATTAAACATGGCGGTGACAGCTTCATTATTTGATGGGGTGCTTTTGCTGCAGCTGGAACAGGCAAAATAGTACATATTGATGGCACAATGGACTCTGCAAGACACCAAGCAATTTTGAATGAAAGTGTCTTGGCCTCAATTCAAAAGTTGAGTTTAGGTTGGGGCTGGAACTTCCAAAAGGACAAATGAATAAAAGAATGGGTTTGTAAAATGAAATTTCAAGTCTTGGAACAGCCTAGTCAAAGTCCTGATCTAAACCCAATTAAAATCTGTGATTCAAGTGAAAGAAGGCAGTACATGCAAAAAAAAAAAAAAAAAAAAAAAAAACACAGGTAAAAATCAAGCAATTGTGGGAGTTTTGAAAAGAAGAATAGTCAAAAATCAGCACTCACTACTGCAAGAAACTTCTTAAAAATGATAGAAAAAGATTAGTTGACATTGTAAAAGGAGCAGTCACTTACTTTTGCTATTCCAGCTTGATAAAAAATTTTGAAAGTGGTAATTGATTTAATAAAGGTTTTTTTTTAATGAATATATAGTTTAATTAAGATTTGTTAAACATCTGGGAATAAAGAAGGTGATAATTTTAAAAAAAATTATCTTAGGGTTCACTTATTTTTGCACAGCACTGGATATTACAAGATGGTCAAATATAAACAATCAAAAATAACTTTTAAAAAGAGCCACCATTAATCAAGATTTTCTGCTCCAAGTTGTGAAATGATCTTTTGGTTGGATACATTTATGTTTGTAAAGAGTAATAGTTAAATATTTGTTTTGAAGGTAGAGGGGTTTTTCAGTTTTAAAAATTGCCTGAAATTGCGAGATGAATCATTTTACTTGTTATGCAGATTAATATCTTTGTCTTTTGAGTTTTCACATTTGATATGCTTTCTTTTTATTTCATTGGGTACATTTCTAGTGATTGAATTATACATCCTGAGAAAGCCAAATAACACCGCAGGAAAGAAATAATTTCAATTCCAGATCACAAGGAAGACCAAAGAACACATCTAGTGCCAAGAATAAGAGAATAATGGTCAAATGTGAACAGAATCATTTTGAGTCTCCCGTTTATCTGTTGAATGCTACAATAAAAAAAAAAGGAAAAAAAAATCAATAAATAAAAAGCAGCCATTTTTCTTGCATTTTGTTTTTGGTGTTAAGTGATCAAATATGGGAGAATAAAAATAAATACTGTGTTTGAAAATATTTTACTGTGATGTGGCACTGATGAGACCCAGGCTGTGAGTTAGACAGCAGCAAAATGATGGAAAATAAAAAAATGATTCTTTGAAAATAGAGTTTCAGTTCTAAATGAAATTATTATTGCTCAGCAGTAAGGTATGCTAAAATGTAATTTCTATTTACAGGGAGAGAGACAGATAGAGAAAAATATCCTGTTTGATCCCTGACCAAAAGGAAAAAGTCTTTTTGATTATAGTTGGTCATTTTCCGAGAGATATCTCCAGTAGGTAAATCAGGGGTCAGGGGACTGGCCCCGGAAATCAACGACAATTGTTTATTTCTTGAGATTTCTTCACAATCACTGAGCCATCAGTTTTGCCAAAGTAAGCAACTTTAGCCATCTTAAGAAAAAGTCCAGTCTCGACAACACCTACAAAAGAAAAACAAAATATTATTAAAAAAACAACACTGATAATAATTAGGGCAATGAATTTAAGAAAACTTGGGGGGGGGGGATCAAATGAATCATTAACAAACAATATTTGTGTTATATTTTCTTCCTTTCATAAATTGAAAATATGCAAGAGAATTTTTAAAAATGGTAAACAAGGAAAATTTATACTATTTACATTGTCTTCTTCATCTTTATTAGTTGCATTCACAGTGTTTCGGCCATTGTATGTTCCAGCCTTCTTCAGGTGATATTTGTAGGAACTTTGAACTGAACCCTTTATTTAAACCATGGATGTTGTGAGTTTTTTAATCCCTAGACTCAGTGGAGAGTTAAGGTGAATAAACTAAAACGGAGACATGCAAAGACATGGGACAAAGAATTAAAATAATCTATACCAGTGGACTAAATAAAGGGTTTGGTTCAATAGACAGATTCTGAAGAAGGTCAGAGCTGAAACGTTATGGATATGGCAATATGACAAAGATAAGGACAACACACTGAACGATGAAAATAGTTACAATACCTCATCTGAGAAATAGAGACAGATGTTGAAGGTGAATATGGCAATAAAGATGAGGACAACAGTCCAAACAATGTAAATAGTGTAAATAGTTAAAATACCTCATCTGACAAATAGAGATAGATGTTGAAGGTGCATATGGCGATAAAGATGAGGACAACAGTCTGAACAATGTAAATAGTTGCAATACCTCATCTCAGAAATAGAGACAGATGTTGAAGATGAATATAGCAATAAAGATGAGGACAACAGTCCAAACAATATAAATAGTGTAAATATTTACAATACCACATCTGAGAAATAGAGACAGAGGGTGAAGAAAAATTGAGTCATAATTCTAAAAGAAAATGTTTGATAAAAATGTGAAGATCTTTCTGAATTGTGAATAATTGGAATGACTAATATTATTTTTAGAGAAAATAAATGTATAGCACAAAATTAAAGTACAATAGGTTAACTGGAACATGAAAATTAACTTTAAAAAAACAAAAAAAAACCACACACACACACACACATTTATGTGTAAAATTATTTAAGGTGATTATTTAGAGGTAAACTTATCACAACAACAAAGTCTGCATGTAAATAATAAATTGTTCCAGAAATTCAGACAGAAATTATTCAGGCTGAGTTAACAGTTTCAGGACAATGATGAAAAATGTTAATCAGAAGTTTAGGACAAATTATAATTTCTATTGGAGGATCCATTCTTCAGTTGTTACCAGGCAGAGATATCCACCAGAGAAAAAAAAAAAAAAAAAAAAATTGAGTTTTTTTTTTCAACCATGATTCAGTTTGGTTTAGTTTGACGGCACATCAACCTCAATGGGTTATTTAATGCTGTCAACTTTTTTTTTTGTGGTAATATTTTTTCTCAAAAATCTATTTCTGGTAATAATTTTTTTTACATTTTCATACTGCTCTTTACCTCAGTTTCGGGGTTAACTATTTGCCCATAGCTGGGACCCTAACAGGTGCTACCACCCCGGGTCAGGGTGGACCTGGGAACACCAGCAATTAAGAGGTGGTTCCATGCTCCTCAAAATCTCCTGATCAGAGGCCTTGCTGTTTATCGTCATACCCAGGACGCCAACCATGGTTCAGAAGTAGGCAGGGAGAACACAGCTGAGTGAGTGAGTGAAAGAGAGAGGGAGAGAACACTCAACCTCATTGAGAATCTTTAGAAAAATCTCAATCAGAAAGCAAAAAAACATTTTATGCTAAAGTTGTGCCATACAACACACTTTGTATATATTCAGTTTTTAAAGAAATAATGGTTTTATTTTTAATGACATTTTTATTGCTTCAAATGTTATTATAGTGGATACTCGTATTTGAAACAGACTCCCCATTTTCATTTATTAAACAGTGTGTATTACATCTATCATTCAAGAAATCTTATTAAAGAAAAATGTGTCTTGGACCCGACTGTGTTAGACTTTGTAGGTGGAAACCATCTGAATTAATAAAAAATATATTAGCTTGTAAATATTTGTTGCAAGGAAATTAATTCAGATTCTGTATGACCTTTTGCCCCCAAAACATAGATAAAACTAAAGATGGTCATGACCCCCACCTCCCAAAACAAACAAAAACTTACCTGGAATGAGTTTAATGGCCGTATTAATTTCAGACCAATCACAGGACTTTTCAAAAAGCCAATCCAGCACAAAGTTGCCATTGTCTGTAACAATTGGCCCCTAAAAGAGAAAAAGAAAATGTAAAAACATGATTCCAAAACTTGAATAGGAAAAAATCTGCAATGTTATCAGTTCTGACCTGGCATATTGGCTTCAGTCACTTTCCTAATGCCATAACATAGCTTCTGTGCCTCTTCTATAAATATTTACATGGTAATTGTTTTGATGAACTTTCCTCATTGACAGCTTTTTCTTCTGTTCCCACTTTCTTTAGTTTAATGCTCCCTGCCAGGTGTCCAGAGATGTCAGTTCTCTGGTGGATGTGGGACATCTTTTTCGTATTTGTTGTGTTTGAGTGAACAGTTGAACAAATGATTATTTTAAATTATTTAAGTCCTGCATTAATTTTGTCAAGTTAACTGACGTTTCTGACACAATTAAGTAGTGTTGGGGCGTTTTTATTTTCTATTTTCTTTTGTTTCTTGGGGTTAAATTTTTTTGAAATTGTTGTTTTTATAAAAAGACAAAAATAGTAAAAATGGTAAGTAAGAATGTATTGTTTTGGTTTAAGGAATATTGTTGTATGTTTGGGTCAGTGATTGGTCAGTTTAATTATAAGACAGAAGACCAGCCTTCCCTTATCCACCCCGTCTTTGGCCTTGTGCCACATTTATCTTTACAAAATAAATATTTCTTTCAACTTTGGTACAGACTGTATGAACTTAAACACAGTACTAAATTGGCAGTCAATAATTAAAAAAAAATTGGTTTGTCTCATAATTTTGCAGTTAAAATGACTAATTGTTATCTATTGTCTTTTTAATTCTTGTTCTTTTATTACTCTCTCTCTCTCTCGTTAATAAATATTTTCTCTTTCTCATAGTCCAGAGAAAAGAAAGTTGGGAATCAACGATTTAAGTAATACCTTTTTTTTTAAAATAGAAATGTTACGAAATTAAGTTTCAAAAGCAAAAAAGAAAAGAACAGATCTACTTACGGCCTTATTTTCTGCCATCCTAAGAACAGCTTTGCCACCAAGCTGCTCTTCAATCTTTATCTTAACAGGACGATATGCAACAGGCAGAACCTCAATAGGAACCCCACGTTTCCAATTTTCTCCCAATTCTTGTGAATTCTTTCTACAAAATCAAGAACCAAAGACTTTTCATTAATATTAGTCCAGTATGCTTGGGTTTAAATTTACTTCAGGAGAATCAATAATTGAGATTCTCTTGCAATAAGGCTCTGAATGGTTTTGTTATAGACTTGTGGTTAGAAAGCTATTATTGCTTTACTATTACTAAGACAGTTACTATTACTACCATTGTCAAATTTGTTTTCTTACATTCACTTCCATGCAAATACCCTTGGAAAAGGGGTATGACAGCCCCCACTAGCAGATTGAGCTCTTTAACCTTAGTTGGCAACCAATCGAGAAGGAATACTATGAATTCAAAAACAATATATAGAACAGGCAAAGTACATATTATGCAGCTAACGAAAGGATTGTGCAGTCATTACAATGACTATTATTAAGCAAAGTAATAAGGGTGTCACGCCATGGAGCAATGATTAGAAAGTTTATCTTGTTTTACTATGAGAAAAGGCTCCCCATTTCATATTGTAAATTAGATTAATAATAACTAATAACAAAAAACAATTATTAAAAAAAGTATAGTTTATACAAGAGTTATTGGAATGGGAGAAAATTTCAAAAGTTCATATTCTATTTCAGTCTGTTATGCTTGATTTTAAATAAAAAGCCTGTGGAAAGATGTGAACCTATGTTCTAGCCAGGCTATTCATTAAATAAGTTAGTTGGCAACCAGTCTAAGGGAAGGAAAAATACTGAATTTTAGACTGGCAAGTGGAACATGTTAACACAAGGTTGTCTGATTGAAGAAAAACCTCAACACCTGCCTTTACTCAAATCACAGATGTTGGCCATGAGGCCCAAATATTATAGAAACCTCATCGCAAGATACCAGGATGATAACACAGGACATTAATATGAAAACTTAAACATTTTTGCTTAAAATGAAGTAATTTACAGATTGTTTTACCGTATTTGAATTGTCAGCATCTTCCCTCTGACATTTTGAAACCATTATTAAATAAATAAGACTTAGGAATTGTTTTTCTTTTCTTTCTGGGTTTGGTCACAGAAATAAAATTGCAGGTAAGGGGAGACAACTTCATTCCTACTACAATTACAATAATTAAGAAATCTATCTTGATAGTTACAAGCAACATTTCCTAACTTGCAGGATATTCTAGAATTTAGAATCTCATAATTACAGCAGAAACATAAAAACAAAACTTTGCTTTCAGAGAGAAAGAACTATTTTTTTTTTCTCATTGTAATGTTTCACGGACTCTTGGGGGCATTTTTCATGACCATATATTTCATTTTTATAATTCTTTATGGTTTTCAACATTGTCTTATATTCACTGGACTTTGCCAAATACAGACTTGCAAGATATTCCCTCTTGTGTAATCATACCAACTTTATATTAATATTGCCGAAATTGAGAAGGAAACAAGAGCCCATATTTTGGCTCCAAAAGAAAATTTATTTGTTACTTATTCAGGTTTGTTTGTTTGTTTCTTCTTGCAGTAGGTTAAATTAACTCTTGTTGGATATAAGGCTCATAGGATCAAAAACACAATAAAGCAATCAACAGGTAGACACATACTTGCTTTGTACAAAAGTTAGGAATAAGAATATTTGTTGTAAAAACTGTCTATGTAATTTTTAAAAAGAAAGAAAGGAGAGAGAAAAGGAGCTTAGAGAAAGAAAGGAATAGAGAGAAGGGGAGAGAAAGGAAGGGGAGGGAATAGAGAGAAGGGGAGGGAATAGAGAGAAGGGGAGGGAATAGAGAGAAGGGGAGGGAATAGAGGAGGGAGGGAATAGAGAGAAGGGAATAGAGAGAAGGGGAGGGAATAGAGAGAAGGGGAGGGAATAGAGAGAGAGAGAGAGGAAAAAGACAAAAAGGGAGGTAATTCATATAAAAATTTATTCCTCATGGGAGAGTAGTAACAGAATAAAAAAATTATTACTAATCACATTGAATAACAATTACCATATTTGATTGCTTGCAAGTGTTCTTCCTTTATTTAATATTAAAGTACTATAAAATCAGGCACGGTAAAAGCATTGGTAATTTATGGTGCCTTGATAAACAAACCTGCCAGGTATGTCAATTTTATGTGACGGGATAATTTTTTTTGAGCCATTTAAGAAGGAAGAGAAATAAACCAAAATGAAAGAAAAGATCAACAATAAAAACAGTTCTTGATATTATAAAGATTCATCATGAAATGTAAAAATAAATCAAAGTTGTTTAATTTCTGCAAAAGCCGTTTTTGAAGGCTTTTTATTATTATTAGAAAGAATAATACTGTAAGTCTTTGAATATTGTTCCTTTATTATTTTAAAAATATCTACTATTTGTAACTAACGTTGAAAAAAAAAAAAAAAAAAAAAAAAAAAAAAAAGAAAGAAAAAAAAAAGAAAGAAAAAAAAAAAAAAAAAAAAAAAGAAAAAAAAAAAAAAGAAAAAAAAAAAGAAAAAAAAAAAGAAAAAAAAAAAAAAAAAGAAAAAAAAAAAGAAAAAAAAAAGAAAAAAAAAAGAAAAAAAAAAAAAAGAAAAAAAAGAAAGAAAAAAAAGAAAGAAAAAAAAGAAAAAAAAAAAAGAAAAAAAAAAAAAAAAAAAGAAAAAAAAAGAAAGAAAAAAAAAGAAAAAGAAAAAAAAGAAAGAAAAAAAGAAAGAAAAAAAAAAAGAAAAAAAAAAGAAAGAAAAAAAAAAGAAAGAAAAAAGAAAGAAAAAAGAAAGGAAAAAAAAGAAAGAAAAAAAAGAAAGAAAAAAAGAAAGAAAAAAAGAAAGAAAAAAAGAAAAAAAAAAAAGAAAAAAAAAAAAAGAAAAAAAAAGAAAAAAAAAAAAGAAAAAAAAAAAGAAAAAAAAAAAGAAAAAAAAAAAAAAAAAGGAAAAAAAAAAAGGTAAAGTTTTCATTTTCTAGAACACTTTCGAATGCATTTTAAAGGACGAAAATAAAGACTATTTATCATTTCACCCCAAGATGTATTTTATGGAAATTTTGGCATATTTATTTTCAACTCCTAAACAATCCGATTTGCACACAAATCTAAGGGAGGTAATTTCAACTCTCTAATTAGCTCCCTTGGCATTTTTAAGCTTAAGTTTGGACAAAGTCAAAATTAACAGATTGGATGCCAGATCCCCACAAGTTGAATCTAGTAGTCGTACACAACCAGTATTGTAATATTAAATGTTACTAACAAATATAGTAATTAAGCATCCACTGAACTCACTACACGAGTGAACGACCTCCAAAGAATACATAATCCTCATCAGTTTATGGTAATAATAATAATAATAATAACAACAACATCCTCTTGACTTTTGTAATCGTAGGGTGGGGGGATCCGAATGCAGAAGCCACACTAAATCTCCTTCACAACAGTCTATCAATGGCAGCCATCACCAATTCATATCAGAACATTGTTTGACATTTTTCATTAGTGGCATCCTCTCCTACAGCCACCTTTAACGGTACCTTGCATAATGGTTTTGCACAGGCTGTCGTGCCTTGTATCGTGTCCAAACCATGCCATTTTTCTCCGTTTGACAATGAGAAGAGATTCCTGGTGGCTCACAAAACTGTCAACCCTTTTCCGCACAAACTCATTCGTTTAATGTTCCCAAATGCTTGGATCCTTCGGTTTCTGCCAAAAGTGTCCACGTTTCACATCCATATATAAGAGAATGGAGACTACTAGCGATTTGTACAGTCTGTACTTTGAAAGCCGATTTTGCTCCTCCATATTCTTGCTGATTTGGCCATCACTCTGGCAATCAACGTGCATATTTCAAACTTACAGTTACCATGTTTCGACAAGATTGCTCCTAAGTACTGTTTCCTAATAAGGAAACATTTAGCATTCATTGACTGAATAGCCAATGCTACTGTTGGTTCAAATTTAGAAAAGTCTTTCTATTAGACAATTCTCCAGGAAAACACAGTTTCTCAAGTCCAGTAACTGTTATTGCTCTTTCTAGTATTCTAACCTTTTATCCATAGTAGGTGTGAACATCAACATCTTGATTATGTTCTTTTCTCTCTGAATTATATGTGATATCCATTTTTTATATTGCTACTGTTGCAAGTCTTCAAGTAATGCAGATTCTGTTATCTGATACAGTTCAGTGTTTCTATAGTGTCAGTCCACAAACTTTGGTTTGGTTTGTTTTATGGCATATCAACCTCAATAGGTTATTTAATGCTGACAACATTTTTATTGTTGTAATATTTTTTCTTCAAAAAAATATATTGCTGGTAATTTTTTTTTTTTTTTTTACAATTTTATTAAAACCTATTTTTACACTTTCATAGTGTTTTTACCCCAGTTTGGGGGTTTAACTATTTGCCAATAGCTGGGACCCTGACAAGTGACCAGGTCAAAGTGGATCTGGGAATACCAGCAAGTAAGAGGTGGTTCCATGCTCCTAAAAACCTCCTGATCAGAGGCCATGCTGTTGGATGTCGCTAAGTCAATCAGTTGATGCCAGACGACTGTTAGTCGGATACTAAAGTATCAGCAACCACAACTAGATTACTGTGTTATACCTATTATATCAAGTTCCTAACATTTTGTACATTGAATCTATTTTAGGACCGACTTAGTACAAATACAAGCCTCCACTGTGAAATCACTCCATAACATCAATTTATTCTTGTAAAATTTGTTAAATTATTTCACATGTTTCATATTCTAGTAGCCAATTCCTTCCAAACCTCATTGCCATCTTTGATTTGTCTGAAAGACATCAACAATAAAATGTCTCAAGTGGTTAATACTGTGAGAATTTCTTTGAGAATAAAATGATTTGTTTTTCAATAAAATTTTCTTTTGCAAATCTACTTTTATGTGCAAGTAACAATTTTCAAATAAAGTGTAAAATATGAAAGAATTTAGATCTAATTTTTTTTTTTTTTTATGGCATAATGCTTTATGGGTTACTTTTTTTGGATTCTAAAAAAATTTTTTTTTTTTTTTTTGCAAACTTGAACTTTCAAGGCCGGAAAAAAAAAACAACAAAAAAAAAAAAAAAAACAAACAACAAAAACACAGAAGTGTCAAATGGTTGCTTAACTCCCTTAGCTCCTTGACAAGGCTTGCATTAAGTGATGATTACAAGTAAACCTAAACATGAAAGTGTATTTATACATTTATTTTTTTTATTTAGAATTTCCAACAAAAATATTAAACACTATTAGATTGTTTATTTACAAGAATAATTTCATATTTACAACATACTAAAAACTAATACAGTTGTATTAAGACTAATGCAATGTTTATCATTTAGCAATTTATAAAGAAATAAATATGAAAACAATTTTTTATTCATAAACATTTAACAAATTATTAAAATATGTGAACAAATTATGAAGAAATCCTTATTACTTACTGTTTTATAAAGTTCCAATCAATTGGCAATTAGCCGAGGTTTTGCCAGCCATTTCAATAAACAATTTAATAAATAGTATCTGTCTATATTTCTGAGATGAGGTATTATGTACACTATTTACATCTTTCGGACTATTGTCCTCCTCTTTGTTGCCATATTTATTACAACGTTTCGGCCCTTCAGTATCTGTTTATATTTCTGAGATGAGGTATTATGTACACTATTTACATTATTCGGACTATTGTCCTCATCTTTGTCGCCATATTTATTACAATGTTTCGGCCGTTATACACTCTGGCCTTATTCAGGTGGTTGGAATGTCGAACTGAACCCTTTATTTTGCTCACTGGGTCAGACTGTTCTAGTTCCAAGTGCCATGTTTAATGGATGTCAGTTATCTCCTGTTAATTCCTCTCTCCAAGTTCACCACTGCCTTAACTGGGTATTGAACTCACACTCATTGGGTCCTGTCACTGGATCTAACCAATGCCTTTATCCACCATGCCATGTTTCCTTAGATACTGTCTAATAGATACTGTCTAATAGATACTGTCTAATAGATACTGTCTAATAGATACTGTCTAATAGATACTGTCTAATAGATACTGTCTAATAGATACTGTCTAATAGATACTGTCTAATAGATACTGTCTAATAGATACTGTCTAATAGATACTGTCTAATAGATAGTGTCCCCCCCCCATTATCAAGAACAAAGAAAACGTATAAATTCAATTTCATAAGTTTACCATAGTTTTTTTTTTTTTTTAAAACAAACATTGCTGAGGAGAGAAGGTGCCCTTTTGACAGTTTTTTGTGGACATAAAAGGTAATGGTCCCTGTTGGTCAAACTTCAATTTTTGGGAAATAATGATTTATCCAGATACAAGTCCTACTAGTTAAGCTAGGGGAAGGAGATGTATTCATATATTTCCCCAAGGGTATTCGCGTGTAAGTGAATGAAATCAATTTGACTGGAATTTAAATTCATTTCTTACAGAGTTGCTTTGCATTACACTGCCTGTACATCAGACAATAATGAAAAAAGTACTGTAATTAATTTTCCAGATTCACATGCAGAAAGTTCTTACCTGTCATCAGCAATAATGATGAATTCTTTGGCACACGAAGCAACAATTTTCTCCTGAAACTGGCATGCCCCTCCACCTTTAATGCAGTTCAGTTGAGAATCAACTTCGTCTGCTCCATCAATTGCAATGTCCAACTGGTCAGCATTTGAGAGAGAGAAAAAGGAACTTCAAACAGAAATATTCAACATAGTTGGTCAGATTGCAAATCATTGTCTATGTATTTTCTCAATCATGAAGACATTTGTATTTCAAACTTTCATTAAACACTGAAATTATTTTGTCAAATACATTTCAAGGGTGTAAGATTTTATATATATAATATAAAATAAAAGGCTTAAACACTAATATTCCATGGTTATAATTTATTACATTGTAACCATAATCATGATCCAATTCATCAAACCATGAAATATTAGTGCTTGAGCCTTTTATATTCTTACTCTGTCCTGGACATTGAGTTCTATCTGGATTCTATCCTCTTGGAAATTTATATATATATATATATATATATATATATATATATATATATAAATAATGAAAATGTTATTTTAGTGGATCCCCATTTTTTTTTTTTAAGAAAAATATGTGCACCCAGTCATATTTTTTCTTTAATAAAATTTCTTGAATATTCAGGCCGGTAAATGAAAATAAATATACTGCTTAATAAATAAATGGGGTGTCTACTCAAATATGGGTATGTAGTAAAAATAACGTTTAAGTAATAAAATGTCGGATTAATAAATAAAAAACCATTACTTCTGTGGAAAAAAACCCAACAAAAACAAATATATAAGTGTGTGTGTGTGTGTGTGTGTGTGTGTTTTTCACACAGAAGTGATGGATTTAAAAAATTTTTTTTTGAACCCATGATCAATTTTTTCAGAAAAATATGACAATATCTTTTAAAAATGCTGAAATGACCACAAAAGATTGTTAAGTCATGAAACAGGATTTAGACCTGCACTACAAACACATTCCTCTTTTTCCGTTTCCTCACTTGGACACTAAACACAGTCTACGTTTAATAAGATTAACATGACACACACCATACATAGGTAGGTACAAGTACATGACTATATAGACTAGCATTTATACCTAGTAGTAGTAGTTTTAAAATTGTCTGAATTTCTTAGATGAAGTCAATTATTATTCATTTTTGATTAGTATTTCTTTCATCTTATTTCTCTTGCTTTTCCACCAAGTAGTTAGTACTTATGTTGTCCGAATTTCTTAGATGAAACCTTGGCAATTATTCATTTTTGACTAACATTTCTTTCGTTGTATTTGTCTTGCTTTTCCACCAAGTCGTAAGCCGTAAGTTCTCAGAGGTAAGTACTGGAAAGTAGATGGCCTGACTCACTTCCCAAAATCTAACAAAAAATCAGTTTATTTGGGAATCCTTTTTTGGGTCAGGCCAATAACTTTTCAACACTCCTCATATTCTTAATAGTCTTAAATTAACCGATGTTCTAAAGTGAAGAATTTAAGAAAACATTCATTTTTAACTGGCATTTCTTTCATCATAATATCAGTTAACATCCATTGCAACCTTTCAGGCCATCCAGTCTATTGTTGACCATAAACTGCAAATGGAAAATAAATAACCTGTCTTTGAGATTTGAACTCATACCCCCCCAATCACCTTTTTTTTTTTTTGGCTTTTTCTCTTAAGTCATTGTTTGAACTAACAGCTACATGTGATCAAATCTAACCCAGCCACTTATTTTTATGCTCTTGTTCCCAATGCTTGATATTTCAAGTTTTCTTCGCATATATCAGCCCTGAGATTTATCTGGAATTTTATTACAAACATCAGTCATTTTAATTTTTTAACAAAGAATTAATTGCATTTAATATCCGTCCTTGATCTAACGTATGAGGAAGATGCTCAAAGACATTGAAGGATTTAGACTCATTCTCTTTTTGTTTCTAGCTTTTCTTGATTTCCAAAAGGGAAAAAAATTCAAATTGAGAATTCAAAAAAGTTATAACCTATGATTAAACTCTGGCAATGTTGTCCACCATGACACACAAAGTTCTTTTTTTATAAATCCTTAAGGAAATGATACTGCCGTATGGTGTAAATTGAGAAGGACTTTCCATGCTACATCTACAGAGCAAGGAGGTGACCATAGTTGGAATCATCAAGTCAATGCAAACACTACTTTTTTTTAGCTGCATAGTATGTACCTCGCCAGGGCTACATACAGTCTTGAATTTGGAGTTTTCCTTCTCCTACACTGTTTACCATCTAAGGCTATAGAACCTGATCTGTCCTGCTATTTACCCATAGCTGGTGGGAGAAGAAGATTCATACCTTTCCCAAGGATATCAGCACATAAGTGAACGTAAAGGATTCAATTGGAATTCAAACGAACTGGATTTAATTTTAATAAAATAAAATGCTAAGAGATAGAATGACATTCAAGGAAGGAGGTAATCGTAGTCAGGATCATTGAGTTAATGTGAACACTCCTTTCCTTAGCTGCATAGTATTTGCCCTGCCAGGATTACATACAGTCTTGAATTTGGAGTTTTCCATCTCCTAGACTGGTTGCCACCCAAGGCTATAGAACCCATTCGGTCCTACTATTTATCCATAGCTGGGGAGAGAAGAGAAGGATTCATACCTTTCCCAAGAGTGTTAGCACATAAGTGAATGCAATGGACCCGACTGGAATCCGAACTCTAATTTTAATAAAATCAAGTGCTAAGAGACAGAAACACATTCGATGAAGGAGGTGACTGTAGTCAGGATTATAAAATCAATTTGAACACTCCTTTCCTTAGCTGCATAGTATGTGCCCTGCCAGGATTACATACAGTCTTGAATTCAGAGTTTTCCTTCTCCTAGACTGGTTGCCACCCAAGGCTATAGAACCCAGTCAGCCCTACTATTTACTCATATTTAGGGTTGGAAAGAGTTGGATTCCTACCATGCCCAAGGATATTAGCACGTAAATGAATGTAATGAACTCAACTGAAATTCAAACTCACCTCACTGATTCCTCAATCCATTACTCTACTGTGCCTCTTAAATAACCAACATTTCATCCATATTCCATTTGTAAGAAAGAAGTTCCACCAAGACATCTCTCCTCTCCACGAATTGCTACTTTGTTCTACAAAGTCCTGTATGTATGATTCCCAGAACATTACAACCATAACCTCTTCAGGTCAAGAGTCAATCTCTGTCTATCCTCCTTATCCTCATATTTATATCAGACCCCATTCAGTAACCATATACCATGTATTTATTTAGTGAACTTTAGTTTGAATTTTTGTTTATCAATATATAACCGACAATCAGTAGTTGACTGGGGCAGGAAAGGTCGTATGAATTAATGCATCCAAAACGAAACTGCTGTCATTTACTCACCACACTGAAACATCCCTGCCCACCTATCAGCATGGTTGATGCTCAACTTTATAAGAGCACCTCACTATGTGTTCTTGGTCTCACATTTTCCACTGACCATCTCAAGGTTCTTGACAAAATCCAAAGACAGATATGAAATGTGATGGCTCCTGACTTGGGGTCTTGACTCCGGTCACTTCCTCAGACATAATATGGCTTCCCTGTCTTTTCAACAAATATTTCCATGGCAACTGCTCTTACAAGCTATTTTCACTGGTGTCCCAACTGCATGAATTTAAGCATGCTACTAGGTTGGGATCTTGGTCCAACTCTTTTACTGTCGAAACAGTTAAATGTAACCGCCTCTTCTACTCCAACAGCTTCTTCTCTCGCACATCCTGACAGTGGAATGCCCTTTGCTTCCCTGCTATCTATAATCTTCAAAAATTTAAATGTAATGTCAATTGACATCTTCTGATGCCTTGATCCCTGTTCTGCTTTATCCTTTCCTCAAACATCCCCCCCAGTCTTTTCCCTTACATTCACTCTCTGTAGCCCCTTGTGTACTAGTGGCACTCCTGACTTGCTTGAGGCGATACACTTGGAGAGAGAGAGAGAGAGAGAGAGAGAAAAAAAAAACAAACAACCAAAAACAAGCAACACAAACCAACCTTGGGTGTCCTTTCCAAATCACTGAGGATGAGTTCATTTTGCGTAATTAACTGACGAGACTGTGAAAGAGAATCAGTAGACGAACCAGTCAGAAGAGCTGCAACCTTCCAACAGAAAGGACAAAATCCATGCAAAAAATTAGCGACTAGAAAAGAAACAAAGACAATGACAACACCCAACAAACACTACTATGCAAAAAAGAAGGGAGAGAGAGAGAAAGAAGGGAGAGAGAGAGAAAGAAGGGAGAGAGAGAGAAAGAAGGGAGAGAGAGAGAAAGAAGGGAGAGAGAGAGAAAGAAGGGAGAGAGAGAGAAAGAAGGGAGAGAGAGAGAGAAAGAAGGGAGAGAGAGAGAGAAAGAAGGGAGAGAGAGAGAGAAAGAAGGGAGAGAGAGAGAGAAAGAAAAGAACACACACATTGTGACATGTTAGCCCTTTAGCATTCAACCAAGGGAGAGAGAGAGAGAGAGAGAAAGAAAGAAGGGAGAGAGAGAGAGAGAGAGAAAGAAAGAAGGGAGAGAGAGAGAGAAAGAAAGAAGGGAGAGAGAGAGAAAGAAAGAAGAGAGAGAGAGAGAGAAAGAAAGAAGGGAGAGAGAGAGAAAGAAAGAAGGGAGAGAAAGAAAGAAAGAAGGAGAGAGAGAGAAAGAAAGAAGGGAGAGAGAGACAGAAAGAAAAAGAAGGGAGAGAGAGACAGAAAGAAAAAGAAGGGAGAGAGAGACAGAAAGAAAAAGAAGGGAGAGAGAGACAGAAAGAAAAAGAAGGGAGAGAGAGACAGAAAGAAAAAGAAGGGAGAGAGAGAGACAGAAAGGAGAGAGAGAGAGAGAAAGAAAGAAAGAGAGAGAGAGAGAAAGAAGGGAGAGAGAGAGTAAGAAAGAAGGAGAGAGAGAGAGTAAGAAAGAAGGAGAGAGAGAGAGTAAGAAAGAAGGAGAGAGAGAGTAAGAAAGAAGGAGAGAGAGAGAGTAAGAAAGAAGGAGAGAGAGAGAGAAAGAAAAGGAGAGAGAGAGAAAGAAAGAAGGGAGAGAGAGAGAAAGAAAGAAGGGAGAGAGAGAAAGCCCTATAAATACCAGCTCTCAATGTTCTACCCACTCCATGTATACTTTAGCATAATACAGGATGCAGCAAAAGTGATTTTTTTTTTTTGAAGACGAGATGGATAGGACTGGTAAGCATGTAGCAATCACAATCACCAGACTGACCTAACAGCAGACATTTTCTTGTGGGGTGTACTAAACAATCTTGTTTACAGGCTCAATCTGGAGACCAAATTTAAACAACAGTTTCCTGCTAAATTTTCTGAAACTAGTTTAAATGCTGTCCGATAGAGTGGCTAGCTCCTGTGGAGGGTTCTTAATTTGGCCTTCAGGAGTTTGGCAGTCTTTGCATATTCTCAGCACTGGAAGCTCTCCTGATTGCCATTTGATCTGGGTTTTCATTTGCATGGGACTTTCTTTCCCTTGCTTCAGCTTTGGCACTTTTGATTGCAATCTGGTTCTCTGTGGAGATTTGTGAGGCACACTGCTGCAACAAACTACAGAAGAACTCAAAATTGATTGCTGCATTTAAGTACTGCATTAATATTTAAGCGTACCTTTTAAAAGTTCAACAATAATTCTTCTGCCACCACTTAATTTAAAGAGAATTTGATGTACATAGGTCCTTACTTTCTATATGAACAATTATTTTTATTTCATGGTGACTTTTCCTGGATTTTTGCAATTGTGTCCCTTTAATTAAAAGAGTGTGATAGTGACATTCACATTTATAATGTAGAAACATAGCAAATGGTTTGTAAAAGTGTTGTCGACAGAGTTCAGCCTTGTATTGATGTATGTTAAATAGTTTCTTACACATAACATATCATGCTGTCTTGATGTGACAATACTTAAAGGCCAGAGAATACAACGACCAAAAAGTTGTGAATGTGGATATAAAGATGCGGACAAGTCAGAATGATGTAAATAGTTACAATACCTCATATCAGAAATATAGACTGAAGAAGGTTGGGGGTGTACAACAACTGAAACTTCATGACTGTGGCAATAAAGATGAGGACAACAGTTTGTAACAATGTACTGTAATTTATTTTTTGCTCAACAAAAGTTTTATTAATTTAAAAAAAAAAAAAAAAGAAAGAAAGAAAGAAAAAAAAAGGGGTGTGTGTTACTTTTTTTCTGTGCCCTGTAAAAGACTGAGAGCTGATATTTACGAGTGTAGAATGTTAAAGGGTTAATGCAATTAGTTTCTCACTGTTTAAGATCTTATTAGGGGTACAAAATTTAATTAAAGCAATAAAAACAAACATAATTAAGAGATTAAAAAAGAGCTCTGGTAATTGGCATTATGAAGAAAATGCAATGAGTTAACAAATTGGAAGGCAAACTACGGCCAACAGAGCATTTGAAAGAAAAAATATTTTTTTATGCATTATTTGATTTATGTATCAATAATATTTTGAGACGGGTTATCACTTTTTATAAATTGAATGTGATCTGTTGATAGAGATTATATCTATATAGATAGAGATAGAGATTATATCTATATATATCTATATATATAGATAGAGATCTATATATATATAGATAGATTATATCTATATATATATAGATGAGATAGAGATTATATATATATATATATAGATATATATATCTATATCTATATATATATATATATACAATAGATAAGATTATATTATATATATATATTTATAGAAAGTAATGGCAATTATCTATATATATATTTATTTACAGATGAGACACAGATCAATTTACGAGGCAAGTATATATATAATATAATCAAACATACAAAATATGTCTATACATATATATATATATATATATATTATATATGTATATATATATATATATATATATTATATATATATATATATATAGAGAGATATATATGGCAACAGATATATCCAAATATAGAGATATATATATATCAGATGTAACATTAAGCTTTGATATATGTTTTATCTTAGAAATGATATATATTATTATCTATATATATATATATAAAGGTTTTATATATATTGGACTCTACTATGAACAGAGAGATATATATATGTAGAATCGAGATTAATATATATATACCAAAATAGAATTGTATATATATTAATCATATCTACAAATATATTGGATAGCTCATGAAACAAGTTAAACATAAAAAAATTTATATATATATATAAATTTCGGACCTATATAATTTTAATATATGATTGTCATTTCATATATATATTCCTGAATATATAGAAAAATAGATTATGAATTCTTCATATATATATGTCTAGATAGAGATATGGTTATTATATGGGGAATATATATATAAGTGAGATGGGAATATTTGAGAGATATGTATGGGGGATGGGGGTTCAGATGTGTGTCAAAGAATGAGATGTTTTTGAATATTTGACATTATATATGAAGATAATGTTATTTAATCTATATATATATGAGATGAGATATATATATGTATTGTTGAAATAGACAACGTATATCTAAAGGATATTAGGTCTTTAATAAATAAATATATGTGGAAGATTTAATCCATTTCTTTTAGTATCTCGTCCTTCTCAAACATGATGTATGGGATCGACAGGCCATGGGATATGAAAACCATTACCTTGGAGATGGGTTTTGTGGGGATTTGTGAGTTTGGGATTTCTGTGTGTGTATGGGGATGGGGCCAGGGTATTGGCTATTGCATCTGGGCGATATGCATCTTGTGTGGGGAAGGGGATTCATATATGGGGGGATGGGGATGGTAATTAATCCCAAAGATCATTTAAATTTTATTTAAGATGAAAATTCGTGGACATTCTAACTTTGTAAATGTTAGCAGGTGCCTGTAGGTTCATAAACAATTTCATTTTCAAGTTTTTTATCTGTTCTTAACACTGTCAAACATAAAACTGTCTTTCTCACCGTGGGCATTCAATTTTTTTTTAATCCTATGTCACTTTGTTTACATTGACACCGAGCAGTTTGAAATGTTTGCATTGGAACTTTGAGTTTATAAGCTGTCATGCTTGTACAACAAGCCGTGTTTTGTAGCTCAGCGGTAAAGGCATCATAGCCGTATTTGACCTATATATGTATAAATGCAACTCTAATCCTGTTCATTCTGCAGTTGTCATTAAAAACAATTATTGTATGACAAATTTATTTAATACTGTTTATAAAATAGCAATTACAAATCACCTTATATGCGGTATTATATGCCAATATAAAAATAATGTTAAATAAGAATGTTGTTGTGACCTTGTCCATTTATATATATGGTCATATGTATATATTCGATAGAATATGTTATATATATTATGTAGATAGAGATAGATATATTTATATATAGATAGGGATATGTATGTATATATTGGGGATGAGGGATATATATATATGGAGATAATGTATATATATATGGAGATAGGTTGTATATGTATTATATATATATAGGGTAAATATTATATATATATATAACAGAGTTATATCAATATATATATATATATATACAGAGATATATGAAATATGTGTTTATGTGTATAAATTATCGTATGTGGAGATTTTTGATATATGATATATGTATAGGGATGGAGATGAATGTAGGGGATATGATTAGATGAGAGATATATATATGTATGAGATGGGAGAAAGGGATATATATATGGGGATATGGGTATGGATATGTTGGGGGATGGATATATATACGGAGAATACCTGTTAGGATATATATATTATATGGTTTAATATGTATGGATATATATATATAGTCAGATAGTATATATATATAAGATATATGTTTAGATATATAAATATGTATATATATATATAGATAGAGATAGATATATATATAGATAGGGTTATATATATATATATATAGGTATCGCTAAAGATATAATAGATATATATATATATATAGATAGATAGATATATATATATATATATAGATGGATATATATATATATAGAGATGAGATATATATATATAAACGAATAGATGATATATATATATATAGAGATAGATTTAATATATATATATATAGAGAGAGATATATATATATATATCTAGATGGATATATATATATATAGCGGATATATGATATATATATATATAGAGATAGATGTTGGATATATATATATATATATATATATATATAGAGCGATGTAGACATATATAGATATATATATATATAGAAAGATAGAAATATATATATATATATAATATATATATATTGAATGAATATATATATATATAGGATATATAAATATATATAAATAGGCGATATATATATAAGATGAGATATATATATATATAAAAATATATATTTAGACAGACAGATATATATATATATAGCGAGATATATAGCATATATATATATATATATATTCCCGTTCAGATATAGGTATAGAGATATATATATATATATATATAGAGATATATATAGAGATATATATATAGAGATATAGATATAAAAAGAAAATATAAAAAATAATTGCAAAAAGATATTATTTGAGATGTATTTTATATCAATAACCTGTCCTTATTGGTCAATTTGTTTAAAATAAAAAAGACAATTTTACTTCCCTTGCTTGCATTCCACATATTTTTCCTCTCAACAATGTACTCAGTTCTATAGGGGAATATTAACCACATTAGACAGTGAATATTACAGATCAAAAGTTGGATAATTTGTTACACTTATTAACACAAACTCGTATCTAGAGAAGCGAAAGAAAGAAAACAACTAAAAAACAAAACAAAACAAAAAACAAAACAAAAAATTATCAACTCACCTGAAAAGATGTTGGTACACATTTGACAGTCAGATTTTCTTCTCTTACTCGTTGGGCTGATTGGAAAGAAAAAAAAAAATATATGAAGAATTGGTTAAAATGTTAAGCGGTAATTCTCTTAAGTCAGAGATTCTTAACCTTTTCTCGTCTTTGTACCCCTTTCAAACCGCCAACCAAGAATAGATGAAAAATAATATTGATCTCATGTGTAAATATCAAAACCATTTTCTTTCTTTAATCTTTATTCACATAACTGACAACAAAATAATGTATTACCAAACCCTACATTATTAGCAAAAAAACATTACACTTATTATGATGGTAGCAATTGGTAACATTTCTACAATGCAATCTTTTACGTCAGATCACCAAACACTATACCAGAGTTTCCTTAATAAACCAACCCTAAGGATTCAGTATCCCACCCCCTTAAGTCAACAAAGTTACTTAAAATCCAGACTGTGTTTTATTTTTGTTAAAAGTGTACTTTTATGGGGGGGGGGGACAATTGTTTTTATCATAGACGGGCTAGACAAGGAAAAATAATTATAATAGGAATTATACAAACAAATTTTATTTCTTTCATATATATATATATATATATATGAAAATTTCTCCGACTTAACCAGTAGAGAAGACAATATTTATGAATAAAAATGACAATAGGAAAACTGGTAATTGCTGGACGCTTTTTGCCCAATGTGGACTTTATCAAAGCAAAAATACGAAAATGAAATTAATTGAACAAAGTAACTATTAAAAAAAAACAAAATTTTACTGTAGCAACTGGAATGTAGAGAAACGCTATTTTCATATTTTTCAATACAGATATAATGACAATATTCTCCACACGTGACAAATACTCACGTTATTTTTCAGTTAAAAATATGAAAATAGCATTTCTCTACATTCCAGTTGTTAGGTACATTCTGTTTTTGTTTTTATTTCATGTCAGCAATTACCAGTTTTCCTATTGTTATTTTTATTCATAAATACACACACACACAAAAGCTGCCCTATCAGGCAGTATTTAAGCTAGCTCCTGAGGAGGGCTCTTGACTGGGCCTTCATTGCAATACATAGAAGAACTATAGAAGAACTCAAAATTGATCAGTTCATATGACTATTGCATTAAGTTTACCTTTTAAAAAAGTTCAATGCTAATTCTTCTGCCGCCACTTAATTTAAAGACAATTTGATGCATGTAGAACCTTACTTCCCATAGAAATAATTATTTCTTTCCATGGGTGATTTTTTGCTGGATTTCGCAAGTATTCGATTATTCCCAAGTTATAAAAATTATTACCATACACATGCACAAAAAAAAACAACAATTGGCGTAATGAAAATTTGGGAATAAAATTTCACACCAGAATGTTTTTTCCATAGTGCCATTCACATTTATTATATAGATGTATGAATGAGATACAGATCAAATATTCAACAGGATAAGAACAAAAAGGAAACGTTCGTCAATCTGACATGTTTCACTTTTATTAAAGATTTATCAGAGGTTGCGAGAAAACAGATAAAAAGACAGACATTCTGGTATTTTCAATTCTGTTTGGGTCAATTCTCATAAACTTATTTATGGCTTTAATGCATGTGATATGCCCCAATCATTAAAGAAGTTTGTAGGTTTCAAAGCTCATCAACACATATTCTGTTGGGCAGAGTTTCTCAATTTGGGTGAATGAGAATGAGAAATAGAACCATAAAAGGTTGAAGAAGAGAGAAAAAAAGAAAAGAAGAAGAGAGAAAAAAAGAAAAGAAGAAGAGAGAAAAAAAGAAAAGAAGAAAGAGAGAAAAAAGAAAAGAAGAAGAAAAGAGAAAAGAAGAAGAAGAAAGAAAGAAAAGAATGAAAGATGGAATAGCAGGTCTTTTTTACAAGCTACAATTCTTATACAATATGGTGTTTGAACCAGACAATCTTGTAAGGAGAGATTGACAAACTGTAATATAGTATATAAAAAATTGCACGGTTAAAAAAAAAGAAAAAACGTGAAAAGTTGTTTTTATTTTTTGCAATATTTATTATTATTTTTTTTGAAGTAAAATGCTTGAATTTAAAAATCTTCCATAGGTATTAACACCCACATCCCTTGAAAAAAAAAGAAAAAAGTAAAAAAATTTGAGAAGATTAAGATAGAAAAATTTACTTTCTTACCTGACATAATTCAAGGTGCAGGTTAGAGAATGAGAGAGAGCCCTTACCAAGTCTTTCAACTGCATAGACAATAGTTGAACCACTGCCAATTCCTATCACTTGATTATCCTGCAAATAAAAGAATGGAATTAAAAATACAAGTTCATTTGTTGCATATATAATAACAATATTGCTTGGGTTCCAGCCTTCAAAAATCTTTGCTTAAGTTCTCTCACCAATACTATTACAAAATACCAAAGTTGTTCAACCATATAATTAGTCATAAAAATTCCATTTTTAAAAATCTTACAAACCTACAAATGTTCTTAAAACAAAAACAATTTATTCGAAAAATTTTGCAAAAGGAGATTTAAATATATTAAGTGCAAAAAAATATAAAATTATTTAAAATAAATTTTATAGGAAAATGTCCATATATTTTTATTTGTTTTAATTGAAAAACCAAACTGTATTGAGCATTTTTTTAAGAATAGTATTTTTTGGTTATTGAATTTATTCTGTATACACCAACTTATACTTGAGATTATATATATATATATATATATATATACTTTTTGATTGCATCCATCTGCATCATTTTTATTAAATGAACACATATTCTGTTAGTTGTCCAATTTAAAAATCAAAAAGAAGAGGAGGAAGAAAGAAAATGAGAGAGAAGAAAGGAGAGAGAGAGAGAGAAAAAGGGAGAGAGAGAGAGAGAGAAGAAAGGGGAGAGAGAGAGAGAGAAGAAAGGGGAGAGAGAGAGAGAGAGAAGAAAGGGAGAGAGAGAGAGAGAGGAAGAAAGGGAGAGAGAGAGAGAGAAGAAAGGGAGAGAGAGAGAGAAGAAAGGAGAGAGAGAGAGAGAAGAAAGGGAGAGAGAGAGAGAGAGAAGAAAGGGGAGAGAGAGAGAGAGAGAAGAAAAGGAGAGAGAGATTCTTAGAAAAAAGGGAGAGAGAGAGAGAGAGAAGAAAGAGAGAGAGAGAGAGAGAAAAAGGGAGAGAGAGAGAGAGATAGAATTGAAAAGGGATCCCTTAAAAGAGAGAGAGAAGTAAAGGGGAGAGAGAGAGAGAGAATAGGAGAGAGAGAGAGAGAGAAGAAAGGGAGAGAGAGAGAGAGAGAAGAAAGGGAGAGAGAGAGAGAGAGAAGAAAGGGAGAGAGAGAGAGAGAGAAGAAAGGGAGAGAGAGAGAGAGAAGAAAGGGAGAGAGAGAGAGAGAGAAAAGGGGAGAGAGAGAGAGAGAGAAGAAAGGGAGAGAGAGAGAGAGAAGAAAGGGAGAGAGAGAGAGAGAGAAGAAAAACCAAAAGGAGAGAGAGAGAGAGAGAAGAAAGGGAGAGAGAGAGAGAGAGAGAAGAAAGGGAGAGAGAGAGAGAGAGAGAAGAAAGGGAGAGAGAGAGAGAGAGAGAAGAAAGGGAGAGAGAGAGAGAGAGAGAAGAAAGGGAGAGAGAGAGAGAGAGAAGAAAGGAGAGAGAGAGAGAGAGAGAAGAAAGGAGAGAGAGAGAAGGGAGAGAGAGAGGGAGAGAGAGAGAAGGGAGAGAGAGAGAAGGGAGAGAGAGAGAAGGGAGAGAGAGAGAAGGGAGAGAGAGAGAAGGGAGAGAGAGAGAAGAAAGGGAGCAAAAAAAAGAAAGAGGGAAAAAAGAGCAAAAAAAAGAAAAAAAAAAAAAAGTAAAAAAAAAAAAAAATGCAGAAAAATATGAAGAAAAGCATGAAAATATATGCAAAAAAAAAATATAAAAAATGGACACACAAAGAGAAACAATTTTTTTTAATATAAAGAGACAGTAAAAAGAAACAATAGCCAAGACTTAAAAAAAAACAAAAACAGACAACCTGTATATGGACATACATTTTTCTACTTTTATTATATCTTGCATACATCAGGATTCATTTTCTTTGTAAATGCAATGAATCCTCCCATTTTGTAGGCGCCACCATTAAATACAATAAGACATTCAATCCCAATCATTGATGAAGTACTGGTCTTCAGTTCCATCACAGACGACCAAAGAAAACTAGAATCCGTCTTACTCTTTATTTATTGTTAAACAAAAGGAAGGTAACTATTCCTGACAAGCGAATATATTTCTAGCAAAGTAGATCTTAGGTGCTGCAGAAATCATATGACATTTAAATGGTTGCCTCATTTTCTGAATGCAGAGGTGGAGTTGGGGAGAGGAGGGTGGAATGAAAGAAAGAGAAGAAGAAGAAAAAATTTAAAAGGTCAAATTTAATTCACATTCTCTTGCCTAGTGAGAGTAAGAGCGACAGATACAGGCTTCCCACATCTCCCCCCTTTAACAACCTTGTGCTCATAACTCAGAAATGAAAGTGGAAAGGTTTGGGTTAAGGACGAGGCTGACAAGATATGACATTCAATTAGGTTTTTTAAATTTTTTATTTTTAAATCTGTAATTAAAAAACAAAAAAACAACTGTTTGTCAAAAGCATGGTTATTCCCTTGATGCCACTATCACTTGACTTCTTGGCAATAATTATTTACCTAAATTTTAAATTTATTTTTTTCTGTCTAACCTGATGAATATTTATGAGTGTTCTTAAACTCAAAAATTTTGAAAAACCAATAACATTTTTGCTCTTGTATATAAATACTTGTTACAAAATAAAATCCTTGCATTTGCCTTCGTAAAGTTGTACAGAGGATGGAACATGTCGGCTAAGTTTTCCTCATCTTTATTCATATTGCCCTCTTACAGATATACTTTATCTTAAATTTTTACACGCACACACACATATATATATATATATATATATATATATATATATATATATATATATATATAGTGTGGAAAACTGTTCCTATCTTTTGCCGGCTTCAAAAGCCATTTGCGTAAATGTGCAAAACCTAGTGTGCACCCGAATAATGTCACTCTAAACAAAACTGATCAGATATGACAGTTCTGTGGCGAAATTTGTCGCAGTTTGGCTGGCCTGAAGAATCACATGTGAATACATAGAATTTGAGGAGAGTGGGAGGGTGGTGGTGTGATGACATGAAATAAAGGTGGTCACGCTTGAAACCGAGGACAGCCATGATATATGATGTAGCCATCAACTTTTTCTTATAATTATCCCATCTGTACGTGATAGAATTTTGCATCAATGTTTTTAATTAAAAGTCTCCCATATGGGAGGGGGGGGGGGTTCATTTCCATGCTAGGCCTACTGAGCAGAATATTATAACCTAACATGTTTCAATCACCTTATTTTGTAAAAGGTCTGCCAACTGATCTGTACCCCAACTAAAATGTTATACAAGACTGACCGTTTGGGAGGAAGGTTGATATTTTGATTTCCCTAAAATCAATTTGGTGTTAAAACTTGACCCCAAATTAACACCATAAATAGAGTTTCTTGTTGGCATTTTAGGTCTCCATACTTTAAGTTTTATTCTTCCTGTTGGAGTTAAACAGCCGGATGTTGTCCGGCCAATCCCTTTTGAAAATACAAATATTTTAATTGGAAAGAGTCTTTAATAAATTATAAAGAAAGAAAGCAATGTCAGCAATTTACTTGTCTGAAAGTATATCAATTACTGTAATTAACAAAGAAAAAAAAATAATTAGAATGTTTGTATACAATAAACTGACACGTCTTATAATTTTGCTTGTCCTTCCCTTAGTTAGTACGTTACATCCTGCCAATACCTCATAAATAATGGTTTGAATGCGTGCAAAAATGGAAGAGACACTACTTGGCTTAGTAAGAAAATGAAAGAAAGAAAGTACGGAAGATAAAAGAGGCAATAACTATCCCGTGTTTAACATCTGTTTCAGGGAAATGGAAAGGGACAATTTCAAATCTTTTCATTTGTATCCCTTTACTTCTTACAATAATTACCAGCATTAATATTTATGATTCTTATTGCAATATTTTGTTTAAATTGTTAAGCTCAAATATTTAATGCAATAAGTAAATTTCTATGGATATTTTATTGTCATGAGCTTATTCAATCATTGACTTAAGAATTAAGATTCAACAGAAAATTTAGACAGGAAAATCATGGAATTTTCTCAGGTATTTCTAGTAAGTAATATTATTACAAACTGCTTATATACAGTCAAGGTTTTTATTAATAACTAGCAGTAGAGCCCGGCATTGCCCGGGGATGTAACAGTAAGAGATAGATCAAGTATCGACCATCATGAAAACTGAAAAATAATAAAATTGACAAAGGTTATTGTTTAAGGTTGATGGACAAGCATGTCTTAATTAGTTTTTTTTTTTTTTACGAATTGGTCAAACCCAAACAAAAACATTGTTTTCAATCGTTATGAGTCTATCGATTGAATAGAATTTTATTTATAAACAATTGTCTTGTAAATGGAATTTTTAAAGCATTCTGACTGTAAAAATAAAGAAAAAAGTGTGCAAGACAATAAGAAACTCTACCTGAAAAAAAAAAAAAAAAAAAAAAAAAAAAAAAAAAAAAGAAAAGAAAGTGAAGTTTTGTTGAAAAACGTAGGAAATCAGATCCCATATATAAACGAACACACACACAAACAACCTGGGTTTTATGATAAGTATAGCTCGATATGAGTTGTCCCCCTTTCATTCTGGCGACAGAATCATGTTTTATCGTGTTTTCAAATTGATTTAGTGCAAAAACAATTGTTTTTCCAATTTTTGGCACTGTCAGAACCACCACAAGGTAATTTTATGCAGTCCTGTGAAGTTTTGTTGAAATCGGTTGAAAAATGTAGGAAATCTGATCCAATATATAAAATACACACACACACACACACACAATCTGCGTTTTATAATAAGTGTGATTCACAGAATTTTTTGCCACACACCAAGACAATCATGGTTTGAATTATTATCCAATTCACTGTCAGAGTAAGAAGACCTTGAACAAAGCAATCTATCACCAAATACTTTGGCAGCTGCTCCATGAAACTCATTGATCTCACTGCCTTCATCATAATCTACAAATTGTCTTGAATCACTATACGATTCCCTGCCAGAGTAAGAAGATGCTGAACAAAGCAAATCTCTCAAAAGATATCTCAGCTACATGAGAATCATTGATTTCACTGCCTTCATCAACATTTAAAAAATTTCTTGAA